CATTAGAGATTAAGGTTACATGTAGTGGGTTAGTTGATTCCTTAAATTGTCCATTTCTTTATGCAGCGCGTTCTTGAAGGCGTTGACAGTTGGTGCATTTACAGTAGATTCCTGAAGGCTGTTTCATCTGTAAACAATTCGATTGCTCAAAAAGTTATTTCTCAAAAGCAGAGCAGATCTTTCTTTGTTGATTTTTTTTGATTGGTAGCGTAGTTCTCGTATATGTTATAGTAGGGGCTCCACACAGCATGGACATATTCCAGCTTAGGACATACAATAGCTATTTATACAAGTTACGAAATGAGTGTCTTTTAGGCACGCGACGTGAAAATTGTCCAACGAGGCGTAGCCGAGTTGGACAACACGTCGAGTGACTAAAAGACATCGTTTCGTTACGTGTTGTATACAAGATTTTTTCTACTGGCGTTTCATAGGTACTGAAAAAAAACCATAATTTTATTCCTCGTAAATAAGAGCCACGCCAAAAAAGTTTGGCACCTGCTTTTGATTGACACCTTTCATGAGGTTTTTTTGATTGAAAATTGAAATCCTATTGAAAAAAACACCAGAAAGTTCTGTTTTGAGTAACCCAAACGTTTACTTTAGTAGTTCAAATAATTGCATTTACAACATTTATGAAAAAATAGACAAAATTCAAATCTGTTTTTTATTTCTGAACAATGAATGACACTTTTAGGCACTAGTGCATAAAAGTGTCACTTTTACGCACTAGTGGTTAAAAGAATGCCATTTGAAAACTAAAATGACAATCGAAAAGTCGCTATTATGAAACGTCAGTAGAAAAAGGTTTTATAAAGGCTTTTTATTATCACTAGAAGCTTACTGTGAAGGTCCTGTCTTGCGAGTAACTGCAGATCCGTCACAGTAAGCTACCCCTTACACTAAAGAGGTCAAGCTTGTATAAAAGTCTTGGATTGGAGCCCTATCGAATACCTTCTCAAAGTCAAGATAAACAGCATCAACAGCCCCTCCACTATCCACTTCTTTTGTCCACTTGTTTGAACACGAAATCAGGTTTCTGGAGGTGGATCGTCCTGGTAGAAATCCATGTTGCTCTGCAGGAATAACGTCATTTTCCAGAACAAAATCCTTGATTTTATCTGTCACTACACAACCCTCTCCATTGTCTCACGTTAAGTGCATGTTAAACTTATGGGACGATCTCTCTCATCTTGTAGATGGGCGTTATGATTGCCTTGGTCCACTCGTTTGGCACTCTTTCATTCTCCATTAGATTGTTCATTGCAGATGAGTATGGTTCACTTATACTGGTTGCTGTTTTATTCAAAAATATGGCTGGAATGTTGTCAGGACCGAAGCTGGACTCTATTTTAAGGTCTTTTTAAACTTTGCAAATCTCTTCTGGCGTAAATTCTACTAATATTTGGGCAACTGAACGTTTACTTTTAGTCTTGGGAAATTTTGCACTGTTTCTATGATGAAGACTTTCTCAAATTGATTCGCCAAGGTTTCTGAAGTCTGCTTTAAATTTCCAATTGTATCTTCGACTTCGGTATCCTGGTCTTTAAGAACAATAGATGTAGAGTTTAAATGGACTGTTCTTTCTATGTAGGAATAGAATTGTTTATCAGATCTTGTGAGCAAACCGTGTTCATATTGTTGTTTTGCTTGTTGCCGCATATTTCTCAGTAGGTTATGTTGAGTTCTACACTGAAAAAAAGGATTCCTCAATTCAAAGTAATACGCACTTTATTCAATGAAATTGCGACTTTGGATATGGCCAAGTGAATATTCTCTTCAAAAAAGTTAAATGATTTCTTGTCATAGGATTGTTCGAATACTTTACTGGAAAGAAATAAGTTCTTGGCTCAAGAACACTATCCCAATGTATTGAACACAATTTCCTTGTCCCAAGGTAATTAATTTTCTAATTTTCTTGTTCCAAGAAATTTATTCGATTCCATTGAAGATCAAAGTACTTAGCTGAAGATCTCAATTTTTTCACTAGAGGTCATCAGCGCTTGAGTGAAGATGAGAATTTTTTGCCTAAAATCCATAGGTATTTGATGATAGGATTATTAGTCATAAAGAAACATCAGATTTTGTTTATTTTTGAAAATATTTATTAGCCTAAGAATTCCAACAATTTTTACAAAATATTGTCCCACTGACTAAAAAATCATTACATTATTACAATTTAAATAAATAAAACTGCTAAATTGGAAACATAATTATTATTAGGTATACCTACTACTTGTAAAATTTACCTTATATTATATATCTTCAAACTTTTCCAACAAGTGGGAGTAGTGGGACAACTTGTTTGCCTCCAAAAATTCTTGTATTGGGGCCATCACAAGTATTTTCCAAACAGGATTGCAAGATAATTTTGGTCCCCTGACGTTGACGCACTGATATCCTGGGCAACACCATATAGGAAACGGGATATAACTGTTCAAATTGAAAAGTAGTCACACGTCCTAGTAGGTCGTAGGCAGCACGTTACACTATACTGCTAGGCACTACACAACTGGGTTGGAGGGCATCGGCAGAAACTTGAATTTTGAATAAGATTTTGGAATATTTCATCAAAGAACAAGATTCTTGGCCCAAATAACAAGGAGCTTAACAATTATGCCATAATGCTATAATGCCTTGAGGTAAGGGGAGCTGTTTTTTCAGTGTATATTCCTGGTAAGACTGGGGAGTTGTGAGGTTTTGGTACTTGTTCCAGTGGTTCTTCTACTTTTGAATTTCGTTGAAGTGGTGAGGGTTTATCCACGGTTTTTGAGGATTTATTCGAGTATTTCGCATGGAAATATTTTGTTGAATGATGGTGTTTATCTTTGCTATACATGTGTCCATGTTGTTTGGAAACTTCGTTTCGGATATTTTTTGGTTTATATTGTCGTAATTGGCCTTCCAAAAATTACGTTTCCTGATTTTCTTCGTTGTACTTGGTTTTGTGTTTATCTGCGCGATAGTGTTTACTACAACGTGATTACTGCGATCAATTGCATGGATTTGAAGGGTAAGCTTGTGTGAATAATTTCCTATCGCTTACCAGTAATAAATCAAGAAGTGAATGTTGATCGTTTCTAATTCTGGTGTTGAAATCTATTATCTGTTTAGCATTGTTCTCTACATAAATATATTTAGGAGTTCTTGTGCTGGCTGATTTTGTTAGTTTAGTGAAATAGTTCTCCAGTCTATTTGTCTATAGTTAAAATCTCCGAACACTATAGTGTTGATCGATAATTCGAACACTTGTTTTAGGTACTCCAAAAGTTCTCTGTTTGTTTATATAGGTATATCTTGTGGCCTGTATATGCATGCTAAAGAAAGCTTAAGTTTTGTGAGTGTGATATCCAATAAAATCGCATCAATACCATCAGGCGGTTGGAATCTCTGGTTTATTGCTACTGTGGGTTTGACACCTGCAATGCTTTCGCTTTCACGTACATAAATTATAGCTCCACCCCCTTTTCTGTTTTCTCCGTCTTTTCGAGATAAAAAAGAATTTGGTATGCCTACCATTGCATCAGGAATGTCTTTGTGTAGCCAGGACTCTGTCACTAAAATAAAAGCTGGTTGTTTAAGCAGACTTTCAGCGTAGAATTTATCAAACTTCAACAGAATAGAACAACTGTTGGTGTATAGGAACAATACCTACTCCAGATACATTTCTGTTCAATTTTTTGGAAGGCTTTGTTTAACTTTGGTTATTCTGGGAGTACCATTAAGATACTTAATTACAAGATCATGCTCCCCTTTGTTTTTCCTTTCGTTTCGCTCTTCATAGATTTGCTTTAGATATTTTCTCTGCGCTACAGTTTGGTCAAACTTTATGTAGTAATTTTCTTTTGAAAGTTTACTCTTTTGTTTTAGAAATTTGTGAGCTACTTCTCTTGATGTAAATATGACCTTAATTGGTCGAACTCTATTAATATACCTATCTACCCAATCTGTAGAATGTGAACTCAATATTTTCGGTATCATTTTCTAACTTCTTCAGAACTTCCAAGATTTCAGCCTTTTCCTGACCCAACCTTTGTTCTCTGTTCTCTGCATTAATCTCTGGGATTCCAAAAATCAGCATGTTTTTAGATCTCTCTTCTATGTCTCTAGGTCAGGCTACTGCTGGCTCGATTTGGATGCTTGCATCTTTCAGGTGAGTTTGCTGATGCATAGAATCGCCAAACTTTTCATTGATTAATTCTCTCAGGTCATGTATTTGTTTTCTGATGGTGACTGTTTCTATGTTGTTTTCTAGTTCCCTAAAATCTGTGGATATTCTTTGATACTGCGATTTAATTTCGCATTGCGATTCTTTTAATTCCTTATGTTCTTGAACACTTTTTTTTTCAAAATTCTCAAAATGCACAACATTTTCCCTTATCACTTTTAATACCTTTTCCAGCTATGGTACTTATATTGTGTATTTAGGTTAAAAAAATATTACATTCGACGTCGTTGTAAGTTGGTGGGCGAGGCACAGCCGAGGCTAGCAAACATCGAATTGAAATTTTGCTTTATAATAATGTAAACTTATAATTGTCCTTATTTAACATAAATATTGAAGGTTTCGTTTTGTGGTCTGAAAAGAAATATAGGTATTGATTCAAGAATAACATCAATGGAAGTGTTTGTGTTCTTATAATCAGTCAGTTACAAATCCATTTGTAATTTGGATCTCACAAGTAGTAAATCCTGTTACCATGATATGCTTTGTTTTTGATATCTGCAACAAGTCTCATAAATGTACCTTTGATGTATGCAAATGTATACAGATTTGATATGCATTATTATCGAGCGCTAAATGATCATACCGTGACGGTAACCGGTAGGTAGCAAACATTATCTCATAACCTGGGCGACAATTTGTTTTTATTGGAATAAACTTCCTAAATTGCAACGAATAGAATTCTAATGCGAAACGAGTTTTGCAACCATATTTGTTAAAGTCAACCTAAACCAGATATGGAGTGAAATCAGCACTACCAAAGAAATTGTCTTACCTTTTGTAACATTATGAGCACTTTTTTCAGTTTTTTCTTCACTTTTATGCGGCACCAAAATCCTTGGGACAATCATTTCGTCCATGTCGTCATCATTTATACTGACATCGCTGAGATCAAATTCATCGTTTTTACTTGAATTCGCTAAATTGTTGTTTGCGTTTTGCGTCTCGTGTAGCGTAAAATTTAGGGCTCTTCCTCTCGGTTCTTCAGGAGTCGATAATGGCACTACTGATGTTGCGTTTGATTTACTGGTGCTGTTTTTTGATAAGGAACTATTGGTTCTGAAAATAATTTGTTTAGGTTTTTATTAGGTACTAATGTCTTATTTCAACTTTTTGGATGTATGTCATAAGTCACGCATTCTTGATCTTAATTACATAATAGGTATTAAATAACTTAAACAAAACAGTAATGTTTGAACCTTTAAAGGGGACTTTATGATTATGGTTAGCCAATAAATAAATTAATTAAGGAATGTTGATACTTCACGTACTTTGCATACAAATACATAATGTATTTCGAGGTTTAATATTTAGGCTCTTTGTGTGATTATTCTGTAGCGTTTCAAATAATAAGTAAAGAGTTTAGCAAAGATTGTATCCTCCTACCAAATTCCACGTTTGATATCTTAAGGTTTAGTCTCTTTGAATATTTGTTGTGCTATATCTTAGTGACATTGAAAGCATTTCTAGCGGTAATTAGAATTACTGCACATTCTTCAATTAGGTAATACCAGTATAGGTGACAACTTATGTTCACTAATTTGAGATATCACAGTATTTTTGGAAAGAATCTTTGGTGAAGGTCTGTCGTTTCGAATATTCCCTCTGATTTTTGAGCAATCTCAAAGGTTATCAATATAGAACTTCTTGATAGTAAAAAACGGTAGGCAGATTTGAAAGTTCCAAGATTATCCAAATTATTCCACACATATTCATAAATCTATGACAATTTGATCCAGAATTTTGCTTATGCCTTTACTCACATTTACACAATTGTGCTTAGAGTAGGTAAAGCGCTGTTCTACGGACATTAGGAGTAGGAACGCGCCATTCTGCTATGAAACTAGAAGTAAAGCCAGTTTTTACCAGGTGTTTCTACACCAAATGACAGGTAAAGGCGGTGATAAAGCATTGAATTAGCTATACCGCCATTATTTAGGTGTCCAAAATACCTGGAAAAAAACGGCTTCATTTTACAACTCCATGTTCTTACTCCTCACTCATAGGAAATTACCTGCTCTAAGCAATTGTGACATAAATACAAGAAAACATATTTTTATGTAATGTCTACCTACTTACATTGATAATGTGGTGAGTGGTAACGGAGTAGGTCTGAAATTTGATTCGTCTTGATCTTCAGCTATCATGTTTAAAGCTTTTGGTCTTGGCACTGGTTGTGACGTGTGTAAGGCCACTATTTCTAGGTCTTCATTATCTGAAAAAAGATATTGACATTATTAGTATAAAGTAAAGACTTTGCTATTACTAAATTAATATCGTCTTTGAAAATCTCCATGGTTCGTACATATTTTTCTTGAAGTATTAAAACTGCATTTTGCTACAAGGAGTGATTTTATAACATTTAATATTGATTTTATGGAAAATATAGATTTCTTCATTCACGAATGATTTGAGTATATATTAATTGTTACTCATTATTCACTTCCAACAGTGAATAATTGTTATTTCACTACCAGTCATATCTTCGGCTAAATTTTATCGAGTATGTAACGGTTCCTACAAATAAATAATATTACATTTATATCTGATATAATTTTTTTGTTGAAGATAAATATTCAGTCATCGTGCATGAACAATAGTGCGTGGATAATAGCAATGATTCTAAGCTCATTGAATAGGTTTTTTTTATGTATCTACCTAATGCGATTTTTAAACAATGAATATTCATTATCAAATCTACATAGAAATAGTACAATATTATCTTTGTAAGGATTTTTGAATCATACTTTGTGTGCAAATTATTATACAGTGACATCAACTGTGATAAGACTTCTTTACATTCATGGCAATGATAACATTTATTGGACTTTCTTTATTATATAATCTGTACGAAAATTCATGATTGCTTATTACTTGTATATCAGAGTCATTATCGTCGAATCCGTGAATTATCATCAGATTCAGTGAGAGGATAATTATTGTCTTGATTGATTGATGGGATTCTATGAAGTACCTTTCTCATTTCAATATACCATTAAACCAATACATAAATAATGCAGTTAATATTTCTTGAATCGTAAAAAAATTATTCATTTTGAAAGAGTCAAAGTTGAGTTTTGTAAAATGTTCCATAACATCAATATGACAAAATAGAAGTTTATCCAGCATTTCGATTTCGGTGATGTGCTGAAGTAATTCAAGTTAAAATTCTACAAGATTTGTTTGGGAAATTGTTAACGTTAAACGTCGAAGATGAACTTACCAAATGTGAGCAACGTCTTGAAGAAAAAAAAATTCGGCACCTACTCTTAGACTTGATAATAACTCAACGATGAAAACACTAATAATTATTATTGAAATACGAATATAGTAATTGAAACAGCAGATAGAGTAATCAAAAGGTACACATCTAAAAAACAATTTACAGATTTCGTAGTTGGTTAAATATTGCAAAATGTATTCTCAATTCTTAATGGGCTTCTTGATGCAATTGAACTAGGTTAATTATTTTGAAACAAGTTTATGTCATGGGATCTTTAAAAAAATCCAAAATAATCACAACTAACCTTGATCTAGAATATCTCTTCACGACAATTACAACATCTTTGAGAGAAAGGTGATTGGCGAGCATCCTGGAGCTGTTTTAGATTGGTTCAACTTTCATTTATTATTGCCTTGGTTCTTTCAAATATTTTCTTTTATTAACATAGTTTAATTGTTTATCTCGGTAATTAAAAATTTATTTTCATTTTGATTTTATATGCAAAGTGGAGCAAATTTATAATTGAACGATCTTAAAAATGTTATTAGAAATTGATAGTTAATTGCTGATGGAGAAATATAAAGCAGCGCTGGAAAAATGAAATGAAATTAGTCATGTTGAATTTATAATTCGCATTTACTATCTCATATTCATTGTGTAAGAGAACAATAACTGGACATTTTATTAAAAATATAATTTTTATTTGCAACCATATATGTAATCTTGACATTACTGACTTTTTAAAAAGGATAACGCACACCTAACATGGGATTTTTGGGCTCTATGGATTTTGCCCATTTTTTGATATGTTCTAGAGGCTTCAATTCTGAACAACCTTTAAATGGGACGAAATCTTGTAGGTGTTATGGTCTTTGAGATATGGGCGTTGGAAGATGAACTTTTTTACGACTTTTTGTGTGGAGAGTATACTAGATACTGGTGCTACTGATGTTTATCAGTCAAAATATTGACAGGTTCACATATTTTACATCACTTAAAAATTAATGTCAACTTAGGTTAATGCCGGAACCGCACTCGGATCAATGTTGGCGCCAGTGCGGTCCCGGCTTTAGCCTATGGTGACATTTGTTAGTGACGTAAAATATGTCGACCTGTCAAAATTTTGACTGATAAACACCAGTTTTTCGTATACTCTCTACACAAAAAGTTGCAAAAAAGTTCATCTTTCAACGGTCATATCTCAAAGACCATAATACCTACAAGATTTCGTCCCATTTAAAAGTTGTTCACAATTAAATCCTCTACAACATTTCAAAAAATGGGCAAAATCCATAGAGCCCAAAAATCCCATGTTAGGTGTGCGTTATCCTTTGGGAGTGTCACTTTACTTGTGTCACTTCCCTCTTCGATTTCCCTCACCGATTTCCCTATTCGACTTCCCTCACCGATTTCCCTCACTGTAATTTATTTACCTTTGCTGGCAACAATGAGAACATGTCAGGTAAAAACGTCAAAACAGTGAATGACACATTTTGGCATGTTTGTTTTATTTTTTTAACATTAAAAAAATTAAATGACTAATCATAATTAATGGTGTGCTTGCAAATAAAATAGTATAATATTACATACCGAGTAAGGAAGTGTTACATTTCTGTCTCGAGATTAATAGTCAATCTCCACGCTTCGCGTCTCGATTGACTATATAAATCTCTCGACAGTAATGAAACACTTCCTTACTCGGTATGTAATATACTATTTTTATTAATGCCTAATCAATTGATAAATATTTCATACAATGATAATGTAAGTAATAGTTTTCCTTTATAAATTAGATTTATTTTCAAACGTCATATAATAGTAAATTTTGTAATCATTTTGACAAGATATAAGTGTCTCTTCAATGACTTTTAGCTTGATGGGCGTATAAGTGTTATACTCTAAAATTAAAAATTCTGCACTATTCGGAATAAAGATTGTTTGAAAATAAAATATTGTATTTCATTCGGAGTATAAGTATTCTTCATGTGACTTGGATGGATTTGATTCGCCTTATTGCGCTCGGCGTTCAAGCTTCCATGCGCGTTACATAAGTATTACTTATACTCCTAATAAAATAAATATCTATTATTGAAGCTGTTGCCAGAACAAAAAATACTAGGATATCAAATCGTCTTCTCAATAATTAAAATTCATGACATGAAAAACATTTTTTCATTATCAGGAGGTTTGCGAGGTAAATTTAAGTCTGGCATCGAAAGATAGGAAACATTCAACAAATGATGGTTCGACTTCGACTAGTATTCTTGTGTTAGATATTTACATATGTATTTATAATTTCCATTCCCTGTTAAATTCCCAGCTGCAATATTTTATACTTTTATGTTTTTCTTTTGCGTATTGTTTCCTATGGTTTTAATAGTTTCTATTGTGTTTTTATTTTTTGTGGAATGTGAAGTGAAAATCCAGAAAAGCTCCGATGAGTTTCACTTTATTTAAAAATGAAGAATCAGCTTTTTATTTTTTCACATAAACGAAAACTGTCAAAACATTATTCATCACACTGCCAACCTAAAAAACCAATTACCAACTTAAAATACAAGTTGTATTTACCATTGCTAGATGTCGTTACTTACATTGAAAACTTCAAAACCCACACTCAATGGTGAATTTAAAAAAAACTATTTAATTTTTTTTTTTCAAAAAACAACACATTCAAAACAAATTTATAAGATTAAAGAAAATAACACTTCTTTCTTGGGTAGCTTGAAACAAAACTTCTTAAGCTAAGCTACACTTAACACTAAAGTTGGTGAACAAAGTTACGGAAAGAGGCTTCGTAAAAAAGTCAGCCAGCTGCATACATGAGGGAATATACTTTAAAATCAAAATATTTTCCTTAACTTTACCACGTATGAAGTGGAACTTTATATCTATATGTTTAAGGCGTTTGTGAAATTCGGGATTCTTGCAGACTTTAATAGCTGATTGATTATCTTCATATATATCTACACTACAACTTTCATCCACAACTTGACAATCAATCAGTAAGTATCGAAGCCAGCATGCTTCACTAACTGCAACACTGAGTGCTACATATTCAGCCTCGGTGAAGGACAGAGCGACTGTAGCTTATTTTCTGGAAGACCAGCTTACAGTACACCCAAATACTTTAAAAACATATCCGGAAGTAGATTTCCTATCGACTCTGTCCCCTGCCCAGTCTGAATCTGCAAATCCCTCTATTACATTTTTAATACTGCGCTTTTCAAAAATTGAACTTAGATTTAAAGTTTTCTGAATATATCTAAGCACTTTTTTCATAACGTGCCAGAGCTGTAAGCTTCCTGAGTTTTGGTACCTGCTCAAAATACTGATTGAAATACACAAATCTGGCCTGGACCACTGCATAGCATACATCAGCGAACCTACAGCTCTCCGACACCTGTTTTCAATCTCTTTACCCTCTGACTTTATTTTCAATTCTTCATGTCTGAAATTATTATCCATTGGAATATTACTAGGTTTACAATTTTCCAAATCAAAGCGTTTCAAGACATTCTTTAGGTAAGTTGTTTGATTGATGTGTTAACTTGCAATGCCACTCTCTCAATGTTTCTACTATTTTTGCCTGCATAGATTCGGAAATTGGGTTCACCCAGCTGTCTTTGTTTTGATTTGAATCTGTCGGGGTAGGTTTAGGAATGCAAACTTTGGCGCTGTATTCTTTTGAACTTTTTCCCATAGTAAAAAGCATCTTATACAATCTATTTTTTCTTACAGCTAGTGCTCTGCAGTCGCCATCTTTATTTATAAAATCAGTTGACATGAAGTAGCCCTTGTCTAAGGCATAACCTGCACAAAAAAAATTGAATTTTAAGTCGGGCACATAAAGTAAATCTGATAATGTTGTTTTTATCAGCCTTTTACCATTCCAAGCTCAAAGTGTCACTTTTCCAATGCCTTTAACTGGAATTCTGTTTCCATTCCTAACTTTAACTTGTTTTTCTGTCTTGGTCTCTTTTAATTCTGTA